CTATCATGGAAAAAGTTCCATGTGCACTGGAGAAGAATGTATCTTGTGTTGCTGTTGGGTGAAGTGCTCTGTAGATATCTATAAGGCCCAGTTGGTGTAGTGTATTATTTAGCTCTTCTGCATTTTTACTGAGTTTCTTCCAGTTGTTCTACCTTTCAAAGAAAGTGGTGTATTAAAATCTCCCACTATTACTGTGGAGTCATCTATTTGGCTTTTCAACTCTTTTAAAGTCTGATTTATGTATTTTGGGGCTCTTTCATTGACATATGTATTTGCCAGACCATGGCTCAACCTCAGGAAAGATTCCTATTGTTAGAGGCTTGCAAATTTCCGCCAATTTCACGCATACTCAAAGACCCCACCTCTGTGGCCCCACAGCACCAAAGCAGAGCTCCAAGGCAAAATTCGCGGGACCACACTCAGCTGCGGTTTCTTTGCTCTCCGTGCCCCCTCTGCTTGTGGTGCTGATGCAATCCCTCCAGACCGCTAATGGCTGGCTCTGGAGTTTGTCTGTGATACTATCCACCTGCGGCACCAAAGTTGCACACAATTTCAGCTGTGTTGGAGTCGGGGGAGTACCTGCTAATGACCTGCAGTCCCAATATCTGTGCCAAAGAAAGTCTGACCCAAGCCCGCTCTATGATCTACTGGGAGGGGAGGGGGCTAGCCTTTCTGGCGCAACAGTGAGATCTCCGCCTGAATCTCAGCAGTGGTGCCCGTGCCCTCCTGCACCCTCACCACCCAAATTACTGACAAAATCAGCTGCTAGAGGCAGGTCTCTGCCACTGCCTGCTGAAATACTGTAGTGGTCGCTGGTATGCTGCTATAAGATGACTTCCATCTTGGCTCAGGGATCTCAGGCGGCCACCCTTGCCCGGCAGACAGTGACTGCCCCAGGAAAGTTTGCAATGGTTTCTCTCGGGTGTCTGTCCATCCTCTGCCAGTAGCTATTTCCTAAGTAATCTCCCTGTGCCTTTCCTCTAATACTGCTCTTCTGTGTTTGGTGGATTCTGTTTCAGTGAGCTGTTCAGAGCACCAAAGTTCCTAATTCAAACTGCTGTACCTAGTTTTCAAAGTCCTTAGATGCCAGAGGGAAAAAAAGTGTGCTGCTCACTGGTGAGACTCCATTTTGAATCCACCCCGTTATTTCTTTAATAAGCCACTTAACTTAGCTGTAAGTAAGGAGTTCTGGTGGTGCAGTGCCTAAAGCTTTTGACTGCTAACCAGATGGTTGGTGGTTTGAACCCAGCAGCCACTCTGTGAAAGAAAGTGGGGGCAATATACTTCTGTAAAGCTTTATCACCTTGGAAACCCAACAGTGGTCACTATGAGTTGGAATTGAGTCACTGACAGTAGATTTTGTGGTTTTTTGTTTTTTTTTTTAACTGTAAGTATGGTCTGTGAGTTCTGTGTAGTCATTGTAATGGATTGAAACCCACGAGAGAAGTAGAGTGTGCTGTTGGACGGACGGCTGGTGTTAGAATTAGTAAAAGGCTGGAGAATGGAGTATGTCAGACCTCTATCTCATAGGGATCAGCCTTGTCCTGGTCTTGATTCACATTATTCCCCTTGAAGCTACACAGGTTCTGATGATCGCTACTATTATCGCTACTCCTACTATTTTACAAATGACTTCAAAGAACTGAAGAGAAATAACTGTCAGTCTACCAAAAATCAAACCCACTGCCATCAAGTAGATTCTGATTCATAGTGACCCCTATAGGGGTAAATCCCTCAAGGATTTAAATTCTTGTGAAAATAGATTGCCTCATATTCCCCCTACAGTGCAGCTGATGGGTTTGAACCACTGACCTTCTGATTAGCAGCCAAATGCCTTACCCACTGCATCACCAGAGCTCCTTAACTGTCAATCTAGCTAACTATTATTCCTTCTTCTTCTTTTTTTTTTTTTTTAAACTCAAAAGAGAGAAGTGTGCTGGCAGAAGACTTACTCAGGTCTACCTGGGATCAGCAAAGACCAACAACATCTGAGAAGATATTTAATGTAGTGAAAACTGCACCTGTGTTTCCTAAATGTGAAGTAGAACAGATGACCTAGAAAAGAAGCTCCAAAAGCTTTTGCCTTGACCTTTCATTTCCAGTCATAGCTTAAGTGAACTCTAGAGATGGAACTCTAGTTTAATTAAAACTCACAGTAATTAATAATGAAGTCTCTGGAAATAAGACTGATTTAAACCTTGGTTCTGCTTCTTAGGAGCTGAGTGAATTTGGCCAAGTTACTTCTTCATGTCTTAGTTTCTACACTACTATCCCACACTTTAGAAAAAATTAAATAAACAGACATGCAAAGGATTTAGCACAGTGCCTGGTACAGAGTACATGATTAATAAATCTCACCTACTATTATTACTTAATCTTGTCTACAGTACCATAATTTGATTATGTAGTTTGAAAGAGCTATCACTATCTTTAATTGACTACTAGAAAACTAAAATATAAGAAGCACATACTCTGACATCCACTGAGCAGCCCACAGTCCATGATGGATTTCCCAGCACTTGATTTTGGCATAAGAGATGAACTAATGAAGACTTCCCAACACCTGTAAAAGATAAAAGAACTCTATTCATATAAGTAAAAGAAGCATGCTTGAAATCTATTCTGGCATGAGTAAGATGGAAAATAAGTAATAATAATGACATACAAAACATGATTGTTTAAAGGGTGTTCAAACTGTACCTATAATACATTTTATTGAATAAGGTAAAAAAGATGGTCAAGGTCAATGGATCTCAAACTTAGTTTGAGTCAGAATCATCTGGAGGGCTTGTTAAAACAGTGTGGTGGTTAAGTTTGTTTGTCAACTTGGCTGGGCCTGGTTGAGTGGCTGGGCAGCTGGTGGTAGTTGTTCCCCATGATGAGATTGGCAATCTCATGGTGGGATCTACCATAAGCAGCTGAGTAGCTGCTTTAAGGATGTGGTCTGCTTCTTGTATATAAGAAACAGCTTTGGGAAGGGTCTCCAGTTTATGGCACACTTGAACCTTGTGTGTAGCTGTGTTGTTGTTCAGCAGCCTGCCATGCTCTGCCGACCTGGGACTTTCAATGGACTTGAATTAATGGCCTGCTGTGTGCTTTGGTAACATTGGGACTGTGTCATTTTATTTGCCCACCTTGGGCTTATTAGCCTCAGCAGCCAGTAGCTGCCTGAGTGAAGAGATGCCTCTAGCATCTTCAGTGGGCCAGGAGCAAGAGGCAGAGCTGAAGCCCAAGGTCAAGGGCCTTTCACCCAGCCCCTAGAGCCTGGCACTTTGAACTTGGACTTCTAGCCTCCCGAACTGTAAGAGAATAAACTCCTGTTTGTTTAAGCTATCCCATTTGTGGTATATTCCTGTCAGAGCAGCACTAGGTAACCAGAACAAACAGATTGCTGATTCCTGCTCCCCGAATTTCTGATCCAGCAGGTCTGTGGTGGGGACCAAGATTTTGCACTTTTAACAAGTTCACAGATGATGCTGATGCTACTGGTTCAGAAGTGTCATTCTGAAACCCAATGGTCAGGGGGAATTTCACGTAAACTAAACTCTTTCCTTTGAATGATTTCATCTATTTGGCCTATTTTAGAATTGTAACATCTTAATGGATCTTAGAGGTCCTTTCTTTCATCCTGCATATCAATTCAAGAGCTCTCTTTTATAATCCTGTTAGATGGTTTTCCAGATTGTTCTTGAGCACTGTCAATGACAGGGATTCACCATTTCACAATTTCTTATTTATACACTCCAATTTTCTCATATAGTGATTTAAAAAAAAAGTCAGCCAACCACTTGGCCCAGACTTCCCTCTGCAAAAAGAGAACAACTGTACTCCTTCTTTTACACTCTAGCCCTTTACTTTAGGGAGCTCTGGTGGCATAGTGCCTAAGGCACTTGACTGCTAACCAGAAGGCTGGTGGTTCAAACCCACCAGCTATTCCTCAGAAGGAAGGCTGGGCAATCTATTTCCGTAGGCCCTTTACTTTAGGATGATACTTTATCTTCTTTTAGATCTCCTAGGCTCTGGGAAATCTAGTTACTAATGCTAAGGGTAGCATTGCGAAATTTGTATGAAGAGGAAAGAATGAATTCTACTTGTACACTTGTGTGTGGAGTCACTCATTCATTTAATACTATTTTGGGAATGCCACATGCCAAGTATACCTGGTCAGTCTTTATGCATCACTAGTTACATCAAAGATTTACACCATCTATTGGTGTGCATTTTTGAGTATGAACCTTTGCTTATGTTTATTTTTATTATTAAAAAGTTACATTTACAAAAAATTTAGAAGACATTTATGTGTTTTAGGATACAAAATCACCTGAAGACTACTATGTATAGGATCCATCTCATTACATAAGCAGGGTTTTTCCATACACATGTTGTTATTGGGGTTGTATATATACTTTGTACTTAAAAACATCAATATAGCATGAACGTAATTAATGTCACAATTGTACATTTGAAGACTGTTGAAATGTCAAATAGTTTGTTATATACTTATCACAATTAAAAAAAAAAAAAAAAACACAAGCTTTTGGTTACACAGCTTGTTCTGTCTGGCATATTCTACTCCCCTCTCCACATTGGCCTAGTGAATTAATCTTTCAAGACTTAGTATCACTGTAGTTGTGAAGTCTTTTCTGACTGGAGTCAGAATTAAGCACACCATCCTCTTGGTCTCCACTGCATCTTCTACATATTTCTACCAAACCAAAAACCAAACTCATTGCCATTGAGTCAATTCCAGATCATAGTGACAACCACTGGGTTTCCAAGGCTGTAAATCTTTATGGAAGCAAGCTGTCCCATCTTTCTTCTGTGGAGCAGCTGGTGGGTTCAAACCACTGACCTTTTGGTTAGCAGCCAAATGCCTTAACCACTACAGAAACAAAGTGCCTTACATTTTCCTACAGAGTACTTAAAATACATTAGTAATTTGTTTCTTCATATGTTTTATTCACTCTGCTTAATTTTAAGTTCTTTGGGGTTTGTAGCTGTTTTACTCATCTTTTTATTTCCAGAAATCCTAACAGAGCCTTAATTAATATTTACAGATATGTGTCATGTAAAGTTCACAATATGGTTTGTGAAAAGGGACATTAATGTGATTTGGACCTTGTGAGAACACCATATTAAAACTTTATGGGAGCCTACTTCTGGATGTCTGTGTTGCTTTCGCTGCTGCTGCCGGAGGCTGGAGGAAGGGGTGGCAGTGGCTGAGACTGTGGTGGTGGCAGGGGCAACAAGAACAGAGCAAGAAGTGAGTGAGGAGGGAGCAGAACTTGCCTAGCCCCATTTGCTGCTATGCCTGCGTAAGCAGCAGGAGTAGCCTAGGGCCCACAGTACCCGCTCCCCTGCCCGCTGCCACCTGCCTGCCCACCAATGCATGAGAGTCAGCACCCAGAACCATGTCCTCTGCTCACCTGCTGTATCTACTTGGTCCAGTGCTGCAAAAGCCTGGGTTTGGGAACTTTAAAACCATCAGGGGAAAATAATAAATAAAAGAAGAGCTGCCTTCCTTTAAAAAAAAAAAGCAAGCAAGCCGTATAGGTCCACAGACGTTAAGTGACATATACCTATATTTATTGACTAAATTTTTCCATGTAGTTACAGAATCTCCATAAACATTTTTAATGTCTCCATAATATTTCAGAAAATAAACATAATAATTTACTTAACCATTCCCTTATTATTTAGTTTTTTGAACTTTTCACTATCCTAAGAAAAAATTTTTTCTGCCTAAACTTTTGTTTAAAATTAGATTTCCATAGTATACCTCCCAACGAGTGAAATTAATGAGTAAAAGGAAATGAACATTTAAAGTTCTTGATATATATTGACAAACCCCTTTCATCTGGTTACACTGCCACTAGCCACATGCTGCTACATGTCTTCTTGTACTTCAACAGTATTACAAAGTTGCTTTTGCATCTTTGTTAATTTGGTTAGAGAAAAAGAAGTGACATCTGCATTTCCCTTACTTTCTGGTAAAGATATTTTGTTCATCTTTGCTACCAGCTGTCTTCCCTCTTCTATGAATTATTTGCTGATCTGAATAATCTGCCCATTTATCTACTAGGGTTTAGTTTTCTTACTAACTTATATGATCTCTTTATATATTAGAGACATTAACTTTCTCATGTAATTGAATCAAACATTTTCCCAGGTTTCCTTTAACCTTTATTATTATTTTTCACATATAGACATTTAAGATTTTTGTTTGAGACATAAACACCCAAGCTTAGCTTTGCCTTCGTATATACTGTATTACATCTGATACTTGTGAACTTTATAGAGCATGTTGTTGAGTTTTGTGTTTGAATGTAGGTTTGTTTAAACTGGAGGCACATATCTGGGCATTTAGTTATCAGTTTGACATAAGGCTTGAGCTTTTAATTGTGCTTAATTGTGTCAGGGTAAATATCTCTCTGCAGTAATAGTGTATAGCTCTCCCTGAATTAACTGCTTTAGCCTTAGCAAATACTGAGTGGAACTCTAAACAGTAAGAACAGTTGAAGTGCTGGGAATAGTGTCCAATTATTCATTTCTTTAAGAATTATGGGGTTTTTTATTTGAACTAAATTAGATCAAAAGAATGCACCACACTTGCTGGGGAAAAGAAAAGAATCAAACTAATTAAATAAATGCCAGCTTCAAATGTAGCTGTAGGTAGTATATGAAAATCACCTGACTCTCTGAAAGAATAAAGAGAAAACAGTTACGTATGTGTTAGTGAAATTTTCAAGATATTTTACTAAACGATCAAGTAACTCTATAGGATACAAAGCAAGTCTCTAAATCCCAAGTCATTCCTTTACATACTTGTGAAATCCTCAAAATTCCATGGGGGAGTAAATTTTTACTAAAAATAAATTTTGAAGTTTGAATACAAGGCAGATAAAGTATAAAAAACATATTCTAATCTGTCAGATAGCAAATCCCTGTTAATAGGGAAATGATAAAGGCAATAACTGACTGCACATGTAGCCTAGTATTAGTGAACATGTGATAGGATCAGTCACGTTTCTGGTGGGCAAGTCTGTGTCTTTTGTTTTTCAGCTAAATATGACAGGGAAACAAAGCATATTAATTGCCTGATTACTTTTTCACATTTTATGCAGCATATGATTCTACCCATTATATAATTCAGTGATTTCACAGTTAAAACTGTAGCACCTAACACAGTGCCTGGTATACAGTAGGCACTCAAGTATAAAAAATCACTCAGTCAATCTACTAGTTTCAACAGTATTTAACGTGAAAGATTTGTTAGATGCAATAGAAAGAGGGAAAATGCAGACTAGAGAGAATACCTCTTCACATGTCATAAAGAACTGTTACCAACAGCTCTGGATTCTACTCCCAAATCCTATTTGGTAATACTCTTGCCAAGTCCCTTCATGCCATACTTTCTTCATCTGTAAAAACAAAGCCATTCTATTAAATTAACTTCAGTGCTACTTCAAAGTTCCATGAAGAACTAGAGGTGACATGAATTTGATTAGTCTCATCAAATTTTATAACGCAGCTTTCTTACGGGATTATTAAACTATAAAACCCCAAACCAAACTCACTGCCCTCAAGTTGGATCTGACTCACAGCAACCCCTCCATGGGTTTCTGAGGTGGTATCACTAGGGAAGTAGATTGCCCAATCTTCCTTCTGAGGAGTGGCTGGTGGGTTTGAACTGCCAACCTTCTGGTTAGCAGTCAAATGCCTTAGGCACTATGCTACCAGAACTCCTAGAGCTCCCTATACTCTCTGTAAAATATTTTACAATGCAAATAGTCTTCAGGCAATGTGCAAACGTTTTTCCCACCTCCAACGTCATATAAGGGAGCTCTGGTAGCATAGTGGCTAAGGCACTTGACTGCTAACCAGAAGGCTGGCGGTTCAAATCCACCAGCCACTCCTCTGAAGGAAGATGGGGCAATCTACATCCATAGTGATATGGCCTCGGAAACCCAAGGAGGGGTCGCTATGAGTCGGGTCCGACTCGACGGCACATAACAACAACAACAACGTTACATAAAGTTTCTGCAGTGAGTTCTAAAGCTCTTTGAGCTATGCCCTCTCTACCTCCAAGCAACTGGCAGTGTCTTTGCTTACGGCATACTCTCAAAAGATCAACTCCAGACACATCTAGGAAATGCAGGGTTAGCATTTTTTACCAAGTCTTTAAGGAGTATGGGACTAGGAATTATGGTGGTGAAGAAAGAGAGTGAGGTGAGAGACGAAATGCAGACTTTAACCCTGGTTTACAAATGTCCAAGATGGCAAAAGAATTTTAATATTAGGATTAAATTGGGCTCATCACTACTTCCTAGCTATTTCTGAATACGGCCTTTATTTTAATTTCTCTATTACTCCCAATCTACCATACAATAAACCAAAACCAAACCAAACTCACTGCCATGGAGTGATTCTGACTCATCAAAACCAAAACCAAACTCACTGCCATCAAATTGGGTTGGACTCAAAGCGACCCCTCGTTGGGTTTCTTAGGCGGTATCACTAAGGAAGTGGATTGACCAAGCTTTTGGTTTCCCAGGCAGAAAATCTTTACCGAAGTGGATTGCCCCATCTTCCTTCCACAGAGTGGCTGGTGGGTTTGAACCACCAACCATCTAGTTACCAGTCAAATGCCTTAGGCACTATGCCACCAGAGCAGCACATAATAGGTTTTCAATTAAGAAAAAATGAGAATATGGAATCGAGAAGTTTCCTTGAGAGTAAAGCAGGAGGATCACCGGATACTTCATTATAATATAGCTTGGTGTTTAAGAGTGATTACTCCGGGGTTCAAGCCAGTTCTGCCATTACTTTCATCTGTAAAATGGGAATATTAGAACTGTTCTTACATTTAAATAAAAATTCTCACAATTGGACCAATAAACCAAAACAAATAAACAAAAAACCCGGGAGTTCTGGTGACAGGAGTGCCTAAGGCATTTGACTGCTAATCAGAAGGCTGGTGGTTCAAACCCACCAGCCGCTCCTTGGAAGGAAGACTGGGCAATCTAGTTCCATAGAAGTTAAATGGAGAAAACATCTAACTTGCCAAGGATTTCATTGCACTGGATAAATCTGCTGCACAAAATCTATGTGAAGTGTTAAAATGCAAAGATGTCACCTGGAAGACTAAGGTGCCCCTGACCCAAGCCATGGTATTTTCAATAGCCTCATGTCATGTGAGAGCTGGACGATGATTAAAGAACAGCAAAAAAGAATTGATGCATCTGAATTGTGGTGTTAGCGTAGAATACTGAATGTACCATGGACTGCTAGAACAAACAAATCTGTCTTTGAAGAAGTATAGCCAGAACGCTCCTAGAAGCAAGAATAGCCAGACTTCGTCTCTCATACTTCGGTCATGTCGTCAGAAGGGATCAGTACATGTAAAAACTTAATGTGCTTGGGAGAGGCTCAGCGAAAAAGGGGAAGACGCTCACTCAACAAGATGGAATGACACAGTGGCTGCGACGATGGGTTTAAACACGGCAACGATTGTGAGGATGGCGCAGAATCGGGCAGTGTTTCCTTCTCTTGCACACATGGTAATTATGAGTTGAAAGCCGACTTTAGAGCACCTAACAACTGGTTTAAACGATATACACAAAGCGTTTGGAACAGCGTTCTTCTTAGTACTTTAAAGGCACGATCGCATTTCTGAACCATAATCAATGGTTACAAATCCTTTTAAACAAAGGAATCGATAATGTTCCCTAGGCTGCGGCAGCCAGGAAAACAGGCGTGGAAAACTGAGAATGCTAAGAAGGGCCAGGGTTTCGCATCCTACACCCGCCGGACGCCGCCACCTAGTCAAATGGAGCAAAGTCCTCTGGGAAATGTAGTCTTCAGCCTTGGAGAGCGACTTCTTCCACGGCTCGAAGAGCTAGGAACCAGAGAAGGCGGAGGATCACCAGATAACTCAAGAGTGTCAGGAGTCCCAGTAGTGGGTCTGATCCACTCACCTGAGTCTCCCAACACCAGCACCTTCACCCGATCCAGGGAAGCCATCTTGCCACAGCCTTCCCAGGGTTGACGCCTGTTCCGGGACGCTAGGCCAATCAGAGCTGTGAGTGTAGGGCCGAGCCTTTAGTTTCATTGGCCAGTCAGAGCATACCCATCCTGATTGAAAGTTTCACTGTGCTGATTGGTCGGCCTGGGCAAAAGTAGACTGTGGTCTCCAAAGCTGGTCGCAGAAATAAGGCGTCTTCGTGGTCGCGCAGGTGGCGTGCTCGGTTAAGCCGGTAGTTGGAGGATTCTCTTCGGTAAACCTTGTCCCCAGTTCCGTGTTCTCTTCCTTTTCACTCCTCCCACGTTAACTATCCTCTTTTCGTTAGCTACCCTCCTGATTTTGTCCTCCAAAGAACCATTGACCCTGGAGCGGCCCGTGTACGACCTCGGGTATGGCTGCGCCGAGTGTGTCGCTGGACTCAACTGGGAGAGTCCTTGGGAGTTTGGGGTTTCGGGGTCTCACAGTGGGGAGAAGCAAATATTACTAAACGGGTCTCGAGGAGGGCCATTGGGTCCGGAGGTTTCGCTGCTATGTGCCACTTTACCTGTGAAGGTATGAAGAGTGCCGTGAAATATGGCAGCAGAGAAAACCGCAGTTAGATGTGTACGATTCCAGTTCGGCTAGAACTGGGATGAATAGTAGTATACTGAAATAATTTAGGAGGACTTCCTGCATCCTCACCTATATGCCCTTTTCTCCACTCTACAGTCAGCGTTATCTTTTTAAATCGCAAATTTGACCCTGTCACTCCTGCTTAAGTTTAACAAGAGGGTGAGCATAGCCTATCCCTTTGCATTCTGGAAACAGGTGTGGAGAAAGTGCATTGGGAAGCTGGCAGGGTGGGCATATTAGAACACGTGGCTAGGAGGTGCATTGAAAGTTTCATGGAAGTACTTGACTGTACTGGATCTACTTTGCTGGACGTTGGGGATTCAGTGATAAACAAGATAGTCCCTGGTCTCATCTTACTGTTTTGGGAGTTGGGAGAGACAGACGTGGAGAAAGTTTAAGACCATTAAGTGCAACTTTAGAAGTGGAAAGAATAATGGGAACATGTGGAAGGGAATCATTCTCACCTATTACGGGGAATTTGGGAAGGCATCTCTGAGGAAATAATATTTGAGACTTAAAGGAGTTTGGGCTTAGTTTAGGGGCAGAGGGAACAAATGGCTTTTGAAAGGGCCCTGAAGTGGAGAAACCATGCCTGACTCATGAAATTGAGAAAACTCCAGTGTGGCTGGAGATGAGGCTGACAAAATGGAAGAGAGTGCGTTCCTTTCTACTTAGTTTGTCCTGCTCTGTACCTGGTGCACAGTAGTCCTACACTATTTGTATGATTGGAATAAACCAAAGGAGTTACTATGGAGTTGATTCCAACTCATGGTGACTCCTTGTGTGTCAGAGTAGAACTGTGCTTCACAGGGTTTTCAATGCTTGATTTTTTTTTAATCACCAGACCTTTCTTTTGAGGTGTCTCTGGGTAAATTTGAACCTCCACCATTTAAATTAGCAACTGAATTTACACCACTCAGGGAACTCCATGACTAGAATATTGTTGTTAGGTGCCGTCAAGTTGATTTCAACTCATAGCAACCCTATGTGACAGAGTAGAACTGCCTCTAAGTTTCCCAGGCTATAGTCTTTACAGGAACAGCTTACCAGGTCTTTTCTCCCATGGAGCCTGAGTAGGTTTGAACTGCTGACCTTTCCGTTCATATCCAACTGCTTAACCGTTGCACCACCAGGAACACATAGAATATAGAAAACAAAACCAAATTGCCATTGGGTGTCTGGGCTAGCTATAGTTAGGGAGACAAGGAAATCTGAGAAGAGACTGATGGACTATGAGGATGAAAAGAAAAAACAAGGTCTGACACTCAGACATCACACACAAGTTATTCCCTGTCTGAATATACCAGTTGCCATTTAGCTGGTTGCTGTAAGTTGGAATCAACTCCATGGCAGTGGGTTTGTTTTTTGGGTATTGTTTCTATGTGGGAATGTGGTCTTTCTCTCTCTCTCTCTTTTTTTTTTTTTTTTGTCTCAGGTATTTTAAAGAGAAGCTGAAAGTTAAAACTTAGGTGAAATCTCATAGTTTTTAAATGCTGATAATACCTGTAGTTCAGAATTTTTTTTTCTCAACATATTCTTTGGGTCCAACAATGTGTGTGGCTGCCAGTTTAAAAGCTCTGATCTAAGTAACTGAAAATATCTAGGAGATTCATCAGGAGTGGGGAACTGGAAGTGGCAGAGGAGAGAGGATTTCGGAATGCAGAGATTCTGAATGTAGTGTCACAGACTGACTTCCTGAGCTCCAGTTTCATTTGTTCAGCTACCTGCTGGACTTCACAGGAATATCTGGTAGTATTTCCTTGAAGACAGCATCTAAAGGTGAATGCCTCATCTTTTCCAAACCTGTTCCTATTCAAGTGTTATCTGTATCTCATAGCAGTACCTCTTTCTGTTTACACTGGCTCAAAACAGCTGTTTGTAATTTTTCCTCCTCTAATGTCCCATTTCCAATATACTATTAGGTCCTTTGGGAGCTCTGGTAGCATAGTGGCTAAAAAGCACTTGACTGCTAACCAGAAGGCTGGCGGTTCAAACCCACCAGCCACTCCTCGGAAGGAGGGTTGGGCAATCCTACTTCTGTACTGATACTGCCTCGGAAACCCAAGGAGGGGTCGCTATGAGTCGGGGCCAACTCGACGGCACATAACAACAACAACAACAATTAGGTCCTTTTGATTTCTCCAGTAGGTTTTATTTATACTGTCCTTCCAGCTTTTTGTTTTTCCTTAGTTTGATTCCTCTAGCTCATAATACTGCCAGAGTGCCTCCACCTTCACTCACATTAATCTATTCCTCACATTGCTGTAAGAGTCAATTTTCTAGATAGGGAGACTTAAGGATTCCGGAGTCCCTGGATTGTGCAAATAGTTAATGCACTCAGCTGCTAATTGAAAGATTGGAGGTTCAGGTCTACCCAGAGACACTTTGGAAGAAAGGCCGGGTCTTCTACTTCCAAAAAAATCAGCCACTGAAAACATTGTATAGCACAGTTCTACTTACACATCGGGTTGCCATGAGTCAGAGTCAACTGGATGGCAACTGGTTTTGTATTATGACTGCCAATATTTAATCCAGCTCTTTTTATGATGCCAGCCCTGAAAGCAGAGCACTTTATATGAATTAGGTAATTTAAGCCAATATATCACCCCTTTGAGAAAGGCACTGTTAATCACTTTTTATGTTTGAAGACACTGAAGCTGAGAATTTTCAGGGAGGAAGGGTTGTTTCAAGCAAAAGGAAACAGGCTGAATAAGTGAGTAATAAGTGGCATAGTGCAAATGTGCATTGGCAGGATATTTAATAGATGCCTGGTTTGTCAGGAGCAGTGGCCAGTGACTTGCTGCTCATTAGAATCACCTAAAAACCAAACCAAACTCACTGCTCCACGTGGAGTCAGGTCTGACTTATAGCCACCCCTCCCTAGGTTTCCGAGGCAGTATCACTACGGAAGTAGATTGCCCAACCTTCCTTCTGAGGAGTGGCTGGTGGGTTTGAACCACTAGCCTTCTGGTTTGCAGTCAAATGCCTTAGCGACTACACTACCAGAGCTCCCAGAATCACCTAAAGAGCTTTAAAAATTAGTGTGATGCCTAGTCTGGCCCTCTCAGACCAGCTGAAACAGAATTCCTTATAATGGGGCCCAAGGTCAATATTCTTAAAATGTTCTTCAGGTGCTTCTTCTTTACAGTCAGGTTAAGAAATACTGGTTTGGAGTGTGGAAAATAGAGGTATGTCTGTGTGGGGGTGGGGGAGTGGATACAATAGTAGGAAATAAACTGGAAAGGTAGTTTACAGGAAGATCATGGACTATGTTAAGACATTTTTCTGTAGGTAATAATGAGAGCCTCCAAAGTATGTGCAAATACATATTCTGTAAGAAAATGCTCAGATCTATGTCTTAGGAAACTGACAGTAGCAGGAAAGAAGTGGCTGGAGGAGTCAGGGACGTGTAATAGATAAGATCATGTTCAGGACAGGGCCAGTGGAAAAGAAAGGACTGATTGGAGAGGCATCTGGGTTTTAGCAGATTACATCTGAGGAATGTAAGAGGAAGGCAACCAAAAGATTGAGAGTACTGGGAATGGAGAAAAATGGTTTACTTAAGTAGGAAGACCATATGTCCCAGTTTGACTGGAACAATCCCAGTTTGTGCCTGTCGTAGGTTGATTTCCTCCTGTTAATTATTTTTAGTAACCCCTTTCATTCTCAAAAGTATCCTGGTTTGGACAGTAAGTTTTATATAATTATTTTACTGAAATGACTTCTCAAGCTGAATGTGTCAGTTACTGTTTCTTTAGCAAAATCTTTAACGACACATTGGATTCAGTGAGCTTTTGATTATACGTGCCAGTATGTGTGGCACATTAGTTAATTCCATATAGTAGTCTAAAAGTTTTGCTGTAACCTCAAGCTATGACAGAGGGATACCAGACCAGGAGAGCACAAACAAAGAGAAGTGGTTTTAACTGAAGCTATGGGACTAGAAAGAAAACATTAGCTAGGAAGTTAGTGGAAATGGTTTCTGCAGGGAAATCCTGGGTTATTGTTTCAGAAAGTAACACTTATTTGCGTATTTCCTTTCCAAGAAGGTCTCTATTATATAAATGCATGTTAAAAGGGTTGAAATTTTAGCTGTTAAACTTGACATTCAGCACTTGCTTAGTCACACTGATCTTTCCCAGAATTGAAAATGGTAAGAGTGATGGATTGTTCATCTAATTACCTCTCTAAAGTAGAATCAGCTTTTTTTTTGCTGTACACTTGCATAGTTTTTCTTCTTTTAGTTTTATAAATTTGAATTTTCTAGCCTGGCAATAAAGACTTTTCTACTCTATGATTCCAATCTTTTCTTTCTTTCTTTTAATTATGATTTAGGTGAAAGTTTACAGAGCAAATTCATTTTCCATTCAGCAGTTCATACACATTGTGTTTCAT